TATATATATATATATATATATAAATGACTAAGGCTGTTACCAAACAATAGAGAGATGATCAGTGGACACCCACGTCATGGGAACTGCAGTCACCTGGAGGAAAAGGGGGGTGGGGGGGAAGGGATTTCAACCTTAAAGTTATTCAGAGAAGAGCAAACAGAATCCCATCAAGCAGTCCAAGAGAGAAAATGCTTCAATTAAATTGAAAATATTTCTGTCCAGAAAAAAATATAAAAATTAAAATCTTACCACCAGAGACAGTTTATTAGGATCTCCTGGGGGACAAGGAAGAGACGTTAAACCAGAGCGGACCTGGTAGTCTCTATAACCACCCCCAACAGAGAGAATAGTGACATTCCTGAGCTTGTTTGCCTGGTTCAACCACTTTTGTCTCACTGCTGTGTAGAAATCTATGTTTAGCATTGACCAGGAGGGGAGAGAAAAACACAAAACAAAGCAACAATGCAGTCATCATCAACAGAAAATATTTTGCTCCAACATATAAATGTGGAACATTTCTTCTCTACTTTACCAAGCAAGTAGGGGTCAAGCACCAGAACTGGAGCCTGGTGAGGTGAGGCTTGGGTGATGATGAGACTGACCAGATGAGTGTTGAAGCGGGGCAGTGTGAACAGTGCTCGGGCCACTACTCCCCCCATGGAGTGACCAACAAGCACAACGCTCTGAGGAGGGTTCTTAAGGTGCTACAAGACAAGAAAGCAACTATGCATTTGAAGCTCTTCTGTTTTAAAATCCTACTGTTGCTTTGCGCTGCTACTACTTCTAAAGCCTGCTAACGGATGGGTCGGTCAGTGGTCAAACGGTTAGGACTCAGTCGGGACAAAACATAGAAACCCCAGTTGCTCCAGTTTGAGCCATATCAGTTTTTTATGTCTATTCTTTATGTGCGCTTTTATCCAAAGTGACACAAAAAACTTACAGATACATTGTTATAATTGAACTAGGCTTAGGGTAGCATACAGGGCTTAGCCATTACTGGATATATGCACTAGTCAGGATTTGAACCCCGACCTACTGTTAAAAAAACGATAGTTTTATCCCTATCCATTATCTCAGCTTATGTCAGAAAGGGCTAAAAAGCATGAAAAAAAATTACCGTCCAAGTTAAGGTTGACGAGCCTTTCCTGACAGGAAAAGCCAAAAGGCGACAACAAAATGTACCATGTTTGAATCAAATCAACGAATAAATCTGATCAGGACCTTTTTGCAATTTAGTCGCCCTCCAGGTGAAATGACTAAAGCAGCCTTTTGTGTACAAACAGAGCTCTGACCTTGTAGAGCCGCAGGATGGCCTTTATGCTCTCGTGAAGGAAATTTGTTTGTCTGCGTAAGCTTCCACCATAAAGAGCCACCAGTTCCTCGTTGAAGTCCACAGTGAACACGTTGAGGTGCACTCCTCCCTCCATGTTTTCAGCTTTCCTCAAAGCAACTGAGCCCAGGGAACGAGCTACAAGAAGAAAGGAATTATATCTGATGGTCTTCCATGAACAAATGTGCAAACAGCATTAAAAAACTTATCCGGGGTCGGGTCACAGGGGGTAGCAGCTTAAGCAGGAAAACCCAGACTTTATTTTCTCCTGTCAATTCTGCCAGCTCCTCCCAAGGCGTTCCCAGGCCAGCCGGGAGACATAGTCCCTCCCGGTCTCCTCCCGGTAGGACATTCCTGGAACACCTCACCAGGGAGCCAACCGGGAGGCATCCCAATCAGATGCCCGAGCCACCTCAGCTGGCTTCTCATGACGTGGAGGACCAGTGGCTCTACTCTGAGCCCCTCCCAGATGAGCTTCTCACCCTATCTCTAAGGGATAGCCCAGCCACCCTGTGAAGGAAACCCATTTCCGCCGCTTGTATTCGCTTGTATTCTTTCGGTCACTATCCAAAGTTTGTGACCATAGACAAGGGGTGGGAGCGTAGATCGACCGATAAATCGAAAGCTTTGCTTTTAGACTCAGCTCTCTCTTCATCGCCACAGACGCCCGAATCACTGTCGACACTGCACCAATCCACCTGTAGATCTCCCGGTACATTTCACCCCCATTCATTAACAAGACCCTGAGATAATTAAAATCCTCCACTTGGGGAAGGACATCCCCCATGATCTGGAGAGAGCACTCTACCCTTTTCCGGTCCGAGACTATGGCCTCAGATTTTGAGGCACTGATCCTCATCCTAGCCGCTTCACACTCGGCAGTGAACCACTCCAGTGAGAGCTGTAGATCACGAGTTGATGAAGCCAATATGACTACATCATCTGCAAAAAGCCAAGGTGCAATGCTAAGGCCACCCAGGCGGACACCATCAACACCTTAGATTTGCCTAAAAATTCTGTCCATAAAAGTTATGAACAGAATTGGTGACAAAAGGCAACCTTGGTGGAGTCGGAAATAAGTCTGACTTACTGCCGGCGATGCGGACAAAACTCTGGCACCGGTCATAAATGGACCTAACAGTTCGATATCCCATACTCCCCGAGCACCTCCCACAGAATTCCCTGAGGGACACGGTCAAACACCTTCTCCAAGTCCACAAAGCACATGAAAACTTATACAATAGAATTGTGTATATCTGAATATCAGAAACACTAGATTGAACAGACATTGTCCCATTCATTGCTTTCAGGTCCAGTAGCAGCAAAACAACTCAAAATAAGGTATTGAGAAGTGTATGCTGTGTTTGGTTTTGATTTGATAAAAAATGTGTATGTTTCATTATGGCCAGACATTAAACATCATATCAAAATACCATTTAAGTCTTGCTGTCTTAGCAAATCTACACCTTGCTGCCACGTTCTCCTTAGAAAAAAAGGCTTTTTCTTGAAACTCTTCCTAGCAAGCTAAATGAATTCAGTTGATTTGTAAATGCACTTTCCTGATAATTAACATGCAAATTAAGGCACTGGTCCCAGTGGGATGCTTTGCAGTTTTCTAAGCCCTGCACTGTCTGATTTAGGAGTGTACTTTGTGGGACATCCACAACTGAGAAATTTAAGTGACTCTTGAATGTTTTGATTTTTATTATAGATATCTAGAAAAGTAAAATGTAAAGAAAAAAACGTGATGATGAACAAATAATCATAAGTATCTAATCAATTTGTCACTAGTCTTACTTCTTATGGAAGTTGGAATGGCACAGAATAATAACCCTAAACCCTTCTTGCATTTGTATTTTTGCTTAGTTTCTAGTTCAATAAGTGCACTAAAAATGCATCAAATGTCACTTGTTGTTCATCTGAGGCTGTATAAATACCAAATGATTTATCTATATGTACTCACACATACAAGTTAACAGACAGAAAATGTGCTCTTTTCCTATTCCCAACATAAATATGGTTTGGGGAAAAACCTACCTTGCTTGTAACTTCCGGCATTACCTGGCAGGAAAAGAACCGGTGCACCAGTGAGTTTGAGTGCACGGGTCTCTTGAGCATATAGACCCTCTCCATACAGGTAGAGCCCGTATGCCGGGTACAATCTGGCGATGCGACGAGGCATCACCACACGCTGTGGACATATGAAGCACCCACAAAGACACTGATCAGGGCAGGTTTCAGGGGCAGGTGTGCCAGTAGCAGATGTGCTACTGGCACACATTTCTTCACATTTATTTCACCTCAGTCTTATTTCTCCAAATAGCACCAGTTCAATTTAGATCCTTGCTAAAAGCAACACCATGTTGAGACTGATGACCATTCAGATTCCTGCCTCCAGCTGTGACCCACTTCTGGTCAGATGAACTCATCAAAGTGAGCCTAAAGATCATAGGATCACAGGATGTTGGTAGATCATAGGCGAATTACACTGGCAACATGCTTGAGATTCTTCCTCTGACCTGCTGTGTGTGCATATAACACATACACACATTTTTAGTCAATCTAAGGACATGCTAAGAGCATTCAAAGATCGAGTGTTGATTTCATAATCTGTTTTAACTGGTCTAATCTACACTTTGTTTAAAGAATACACTCGTATGGCCAGATTGGTGCACCTCACCCATGCGCCTCAACACCCGTCTCTCAGACAAAATTAGGAGTTATTTTTTCCCTCAAAAGGTATCATAATCCATGTTATCCATTTGTGCAGGCATGTGCTTGTTTGACATTTAATGGTGAGTGACGCCCTGAGTGAGCTACGATGAGCATCATGCGGAAAGAAATCCGCAAATAAAAACCTGTTTTAAAAAATGTTTTTAGAATAAGACTAATGTTTTGCATGCATTATCAGTGGTACTTACTCTGTACTCTGGATATTCAAACATGTAGGTCATACTACATCTGTTCTCCTCGAAGCCAGTGAGCAACTCTCGGAGACCGATCATCAGAACCCCCAGAGCAAGAACATAAAAGGCCACCGAGGCGAGTTTCATGGTTTAATTGCAAGTCTGATTTTCAAATTTTACGTCTGTTTGATCGCCATGTTTCAATTTTTATCCTGCTGGCGAGAATAGGCGTAATAGTAAAGACACACCAGCTGAGCCTTAGCTTACAAGACAGGAAGCACACTTGTATTGACGGGACTGATTAGCAGATGGGCTGTCCAATGAGAGGAAAGCAGGAAAAAATTGAGCAATGCGAGAGCAGTCTATATCTGACGTACCATGTTCCGTAGCTAATGCTAAGTTTAGTTAAGCTTTTTTAAATCACTTTTTGTTGTTTGCTCATTTTCATGAAGTGTTTGTTCTTTATAAATGTACTGTTATTGTTTTTTTTAAAAGAAAGTCTAATAGGCATAATGATAAAAAATAAAAACTTTACTTTAATTATTTCGAAAAAGTGGGCGTGGGTGGAAAAAAATGTGTGGTACAATGAAGAAGGCAGTATTAGTGACACTCCCATTACTATGCCTCCAACTGGACAAACAAGCTCCTTTAGGATTAAGGATACTTAAGAATTCCTTCTTTAAAATCCCGAAGATGTAAAATTCCAAACAGCGTGTAACGCAGCAAGAGAGATAAACAGAAAATGTCTGCCGTTTCCAAAATTCATAGTAATGTGTAAATGCTTCAACAGGTAATGAAATGGAGAACTCCCTTTACATAAATCCACTCTCCAAGGAATAAATCCTTGTCTCACTCCACATGGAAATGTGTAATATGTCAAATCAATTTTATGGTGATGTGTAGTAAAACTGTATTAAAATTATATTGCTCTCAACGTAACATTAAAATCAGGAATTAGCCATGGATAGATACACGGTAACTTGAAACATAAAGTTACAAAGTGTACAAACAGTTTTTGACAAACACAATGTCAGTTATTTGCCAAAATTGTCTTTGGTTCATTGATAATTTTTTCATTAGTATAGTAGTGAATTTGAGCATTTTTCCAGCTTTATAAAAAATCCTTCTTAAGTCCAGGGAATTTAAAGAATTTATTCCCACTTCTTTATTGGAAGTTCTTCTTTATAAAACGACTTTGAATCTGTGTTATAGTAGTAATTTTTCTCATTTACCTGAACTGATTGAATGGCAATGCCCACATTCTCTCCCACCTGCTACTACAGGGATTGGACAATGAAACTGAAACACCTGGTTTTGGACCACAATACTTTATTAGTATGGTGTAGGGCCTCCTTTTGTGGCCAATACAGCGTCAATTCGTCTTGGGAATGACATATACAAGTCCTGCACAGTGGTCAGAGGGATTTTAAGCCATTCTTCCAGCAGGATAGTGGCCAGGTCACGACGTGATGCTGGTGGAGGAAAATGTTTCCTGACTCGCTCCTCCAAAACACCCCAAAGTGGCTCAATAATATTTAGATCTGGTGACTGTGCAGGCCATGGGAGATGTTCAACTTCACTTTCATGTTCATCAAACCAATCTTTCACCAGTCTTGCTGTGTGTATTGGTGCATTGTCATCCTGATACACGGCACCTCCTTCAGGATACAATGTTTGAACCACTGGATGAACATGGTCCTCCAGAATGGTTCGGTAGTCCTTGGCAGTGACGCGCCCATCTAGCACAAGTATGGGGCCATGGGAATGCCATGATATGGCAGCCCAAACCATCACTGATCCACCCCCATGCTTCACTCTGGGCATGCAACAGTCTGGGCGTTACGCTTTCTTTAGGGCTTCTCCACACCTTAACTCTCCCAGATGTGGGGAAAACAGTATAGGTGGACTCATCAGAGAAAAATACATCTTTCACATCCCAAGATGTGCGCCACTTGCACCATTGAAACCGACGTTTGGCATTGGCTCGAGTGACCAAAGGTTTGGCTATAGCAGCCCGGCCGTGTATATTGACCCTGTGGAGCTCCCGACGGACAGTTTTGGTGGAAACAGGAGAATTGAGGTGCACATTTAATTCTGCCGTGATTTGGGCAGCCGTGGTTTTATGTTTTTTAGATACAATCCGGGTTAGCACCCGAACATCCCTTTCAGACAGCTTCCTCTTGCGTCCACCGTTAATCCTGTTGAATGTGGTTCGTCCTTCTTGGTGGTATGCTGACATTACCCTGGATACCGTGGCTCTTGATACATCACAAAGACTTGCTGTCTTGGTCACAGATGCGCCAGCAAGACATGCACCAACAATTGGTCCTCTTTTGAACTCTTGTATGTCACCCATAATGTTGTGTGCATTGCAATATTTTGAGCAAAACTGTGCTCTTACCCTGCTAATTGGACCTTCACAGTCTGCTCTTATTGGTTAAATGTGCAATTAATGAAGATTGGCCACCAGGCTGGTCCAATTTAGCCATGAAACCTCCCACACTAAAATGAGAGGTGTTTCAGTTTCATTTTCCAACCCCTGTACCTTCATGTTTGAGGAGGGTATCCAAAAACATATTTGTTGTACATCTGATAGCTATTAAGATAACATTAGTATCATTAAAGCCAGTTACAATGACAATATTTGTAATTCAATCATTCTATCCAATCCAAGTACTCAAACTGAACCGATTGAAAACTACTTTACCAAGCTAAAGTAAGCAAACCACATCATGTTACATGCTTGCAATGGACCTAACATTGTGTGGTAGGAAATAAATCAAACAAATCTTTCTGCATGTTTGAAAAAACATTTAATCACATGAATTACACAAAAGTCACATTCGACAAGCATGAGTTTTCAGCATTTTCTGAAAGTCTTTAAAAGGTCACAAGTCAATGCATGTCGAGAATTTAATACAAACTCTTCAATTGTTGAAGGTAATGTGTGCAATAGAACATAATGGTATTTTCAAAAAATCAATTTATGGTAATCTTGCAGCTGGCAATTCATTCCAACTAAAAATCAGCGCACAACAATGTACTGAATATTTTAATTGCTCTGCCCTCACTCAAGAGCAAGTCCACAAACCCCTTCAAGTTATACTCACTTGTTTCTATACCATTAAAAAAGGTGTGCAGAAGAATCAGCAATACTGTTCCTGTGCTGACAGCTCTGGACATCACTGCTGTAGTGACTAGTGGAGAAAATTTAACTTTTTTTCCTAGAGCTCGTTGCCGACCTTCCAGTGACCCCGTCTCCCTTTTATGGATGATTCGATACCGTGTTAACTCAGTTTATTGAAAGCAAAAGAGAGAAGGAATATATATATAAAAACAAATTTATCATTTAAATTAAATTCACTTCAGTCCAAAAGCTTGGAGTGCTCTATCCTTGTAATGGTCCAGTCTGGAGCCACTCCTTTAGTAAACTCCCTTTGGAATCTGGTGGAAGAGAAATGAGTGTTTGCAAAAACTCACAAAGTTGTCCCACTTTTCTTGATATACCACCGACTCGGAAATGGCAGCCATTCATCCAAAAGTACTCACTCATATATTGCAGTTAATAGGGTCTTGGTTTCTGGTTCCCCCTCTCCTTCTCCAATAGCCACCTTAAAGATACGAAAGCTCTCTGAGCTATCCTCAGGAAGCTGTGCACTTGTCAGATACCAGAACCTCATCAGGATGCTCACAAATTTTCTACCTGGAAAACAAAATACAGGATCTTACAAGAACTTCGTAGCAATGTACAATTGATTATAACCTGGGGAAAAAGTCAGAATGATTTTCGAGGCACAAAACAAAGCTAACTTCTTCTTAGGTTTAAATCTTTAAAGACTATTTTGTAGTGTTTTTTATTGGTAATAAATTTCACCAGAAGATCGATTTTGGAAAATGTTAGAAACCGTCTGTGGCACTGGAATGTCACAGACCTGAGAATCCACTCACACCATATAACAGTTTCAGTGGCGTTTTCTCCAAAAGCATTTTGTGGAAGACCATTCCTAAAGGCAGATGCAGTGAGTCCAAGAAGTATTTGATCCCTTGCTGATTTTCTTCGTTTGCCCACTAATAAAGGTGTGATCATTCTGCACGTTTAATGGTAGATGTATTCTAACATGGAGAGACAGAATATCACAAAGAAAATCCTGAAAAAAAATCTAAGGAAAATATATGAATTAATTTGTATTTCATTGAGGGAAATAAGTATTTGATCCCTCTAGCCAAACACAGTCAATATTTAGTGGCAAAAAAACTTTGTCAGGAAGTACAGCAGTGAGACGTTTGTTGTAGTTAACCACAAGTTTAGCACACACACCAGGGGGAATTTTGGCCCACTCTTCTTTGCAGATCCTCTCTAAATCAGGAAGGTTGGTGGGCTGTCGCTTGGCAACTCTGACTTTCAGCTCCCTCCATAGATTCTCAATCGGATTGAGGTCCGGAGACTGGCTGGGCCACTCCATGACCTTCATGTGATGTTTCTTGAGCCAATCCTTTGTTGCCTTTGCTGTGTGTTTCGGGTCGTTATGTTGGAAAACCCAACCACATCCCATTTTCAGCTTCCTGGCAGAGGGGAGGAGGTTGTCCCTCAGGATTGTACGGTACATGGCTCAATCCATCTTCCCAGTGATGCGGTGAAGTAGCCCTGTACCTTTGGCAGAGAAACACCCCCAAAACATTATGCTTCCACCTCCATGCTTGACGGTGGGCACAGTGTTCTTGGGGTCATAGGCAGCATTCTTCTTCCTCCACACATGGCGGGTAGAGTTGAGGCCAAAAAGTTCAATTTTGGTCTCGTCTGACCACAGAACCTTCTCCCAATAACTTGGTTCATCTTTCAGGTGATCATTGGCATATTTAAGGCGCGCCTCCACATGTGCCTTCTTGAGGAGGGGTACTTTTCGGGCACTGCAGGATGTTAGTCCATTGTTGCGCAAAGTGTTGCCAATTGTTTCGTTGCACACTGTGGTCCCAGCTGCCTTCAGGTCATTTAACAACTCCTGACGAGTGGTTGCAGGATTATTTCTGACCGTTCTCAGGAGCATTGTCACCCCACGAGGTGAAATCTTCTTTGGAGGTCTGTTGATGGTCATGTTATACTCTTTAAATTTTCTAACAATTGCACCAATAGTTGTTACTTTAAATTCCAACACCTTGCTAATCTTTTTGTAGCCCATTCCAGCTTTGTGGAGGTCAACAATCCTGACTCTGAGGTCCTGAGACAGCTCTTTGGTCTTACCCATGTTGGAGACTTGAAATCTGTCAGATTGTCTGATTCTGTGAATAGGTGTTTTTCACACAAGTGAGTAGTGAGAACAGGTGGCTTCCGTTCAGGTAACAAGCTGATTGGGAGTGTCTAACTGCTCTGTGAAAGGCAGGACTCCTAATGCATACTGAGGGATCAAATACTTATTTCCCTCAATGGAATACAAATTAATTAATATATATTCCTTAGATTTTTTTTCAGGATTTTCTTTGTGATATTCTGTCTCTCCATGTTAGAATACATCTACCATTAAACATGCAGAATGATCACATCTTTATTAGTGGGCAAACGAAGAAAATCAGCAAGGGATCAAATACTTATTGGACTCACTGTACTTATGCCGTCGCACTTAAACAGAAAAATTAGAATGACCAATTCACCAGGTGACACTTCATTCTTACCATTGTCATCGTAGAAGATTCCCACATCCCCGGGTGTTGTGTACATTATCTCATCAGGATCTGCAGACAGAGCTCTCTTGTAGTTTGAAGGCAACAGGTTACATTTTTCCTCCAGCTTTCCAATCAGCTGTAAGGAGAAGAAAATAAAGGGTTTATATAACATCCAGCATATTACAATAACTGGCATGCAGTTTAAACACATTTCAAATGTCTAAATGTTGTTCGGCCGCTGGTCTTAACTGCTCGATCAAATACAGATTTTCTTAAAAAACGGTCACTTTTCAAAAATCCTTTGTTATAACTTATCCAAATAATTTACAATGCTTCATATACATCTGGTTACACTTTTTAATATGAACTAGATGGAGGCAAACTTCAGCCATCTGTTCATCCTATATGTTTTGACTTGCTGCACTACTTACATCTTTAGCCACAAGCCCCTCCATGGCTTCGAACTCACACTGTGATAGTAGTCTGGATACATGAGAGAAGGCCTGTAGATCAAAAGTAATTTGGGTTTCATGAGTCTACCAAACAAGTCAATTAAAAAGTTGAGAGATAAGCTGCATCTGTGTGGTTATCAGCGCCCCCTTATCTTAATTTGTTTCCTTATATTCACACACCTGCTTCGCTCCCTCCGTGAACTCTTCAATGCTGAAGTCTTTATCAAAGTAAGTCCTGATTAGAAAGTAATAGACCCGGGTGCGGAACCAGATGAACGGATTCGGGATGCCGACGACCACCACCTTTTGCTTATGCCTTTGGTCTCCCTGGTCTGAGCTGAAGAGCCGCACGGCAGCCGCTACAGCCGCAGCTGAGGAGCGAGGTGGTCGAGTTTTACCGCTTAGCGCAATATTTCCAATTAAAAACAGACGACTGGGGCTGAACGATGACGGTAGCCTGCAACATCCTCTTACCATGGGCAGCGCCATCTTCTTTTGTCATTTAAACCCTTCTTGTCCGTGCTCTTGTAGCTTCCGGCTAGAACAGTTAGCGTCCTAAAATATATTTTCAACATGCTATACTAAAAACATAGAACTTATGTCACACAATTTAAAATATGTAAACTGCGATATGTTTACAATCTTGAATGTGCACTAGAATTATTGTTCATACAATTGCACACCTAGTTTCTGTTTCCGTGGGGAACGTCAGCAATGTAACACCAGATGAAGTTGTTGTGAGTTGTTTACATTTGCTATCAAGCAATCTGTCCAAGGAAATAATATTAGATGGAGTTCCAGGAAAAATATAATGTGCCGATATTTACTGAAACTGACAGGGATGTTTTTCTACGAGAAATCTATCCGGAGGTAAGAGACTGTTCTATCTACATCAAGTGCATTTTGTTCATCGTGGTCACAGAATAAAACAACTAATGTTGGTGCATAAAATTATAAATGTCGCGTGTCTCAGTTTTAAACAGAGTGGCCATTTAGAGAGTGCTTTCCCAGTATGGCACTTTTTAAGAAATGTTTACCATGTAAAACAGACATTGATCCAACCTCTGAAGCTTGAACTCTTAATCGTTTTGAAATCTAGTAACTGGAGTTCATTAGTCTCAGTTGATTTATTTACATTCTTGTTTTAGTCGATTTCGACTTTAAAAACATAGGAAATATGGAGGAAAATAGTAATTGCCCTACTTTTAAACGGCATATTTGGTATGTTTTATAATGACTGCTGCTCTGCATTTAACTCTTTGATCATAGGCATGTTTAACTTGTCATGATAAAGTTCATGCAAGTAGGGGCCGGAGGAAATATTCATCCTTAATGTTACCTGTATGTAAATGTTTTGAGGGATTTTCAATTTCCAGCGCAGACCTGCCCTGCTGAGAGGAGTGAATCTGGGGGAGTGCTTGAAAAAGTGGACGGTTGAATATATCAGCCAAAAAGGAGGCAAAAGGGAGGTCAAGATCCATGTATCAACAGTGCCACAGATGGATTTTCTTCGGAAAAACTTTGTATACAAGTGAGTTTACCCTATCTGATGGAATGCATCACCTTGTATGTTAACCCTCTGGACTAAATAACAAATGCTGACTCTGAACCATTAAACGTCACTCTGCTGTATGTATCATATTCACAGGACTCTGCCATTCAATGAATTTGTGAAAAGAGCATCTGAAAAAAAGCACAGCAACTTTTTCCTGAGTGAGGTAATTATAAAGTATATTTGTATGTATATATCAAGATTAGATATGCACTTTATTTATGTTCTGTTTTGCTTGCTTGAATGACTAAGATAATCCTGGGTGTGATTGTTAGGATGAGAGCTACTACCTTCGATCACTGGGAGAGGACAATCGGAAGGTATTAAGAAGATTTTACCTTGTCAGTTAATGTTGAATTTCATTGTAGATCTTTATATTTGCTGAGCACATGCATTTGTGAGGTAAATGTGGGCTCAAAGCATAGGCAGTATGCTGTAAGGGTGCCCAATTTTAAATCAGAGTAAATGTCTGCAGTCTGGAACATATTGGCATCCAGGAGGCCTTCTTTATTTATCTTTTTTTTTTACACGTGCATTTCATTCATCCAAATACTCATGCATTTCATGCATGTGTATTTGAATGAATTTGGATGTGTGTAGATTACAGTATACCCTTAAGGCTAGTCCAGCTGCTTCTGTCACATCATTAATGTTCCCTTCTTTTTATTTTAGTTTCATTACCCTTAAATGCTTTTACAGAACCCCCAACCAATCTGTTTTTTTGTGTTTTTTTTCAAGATGTTTTCTCACTAAATCTCCTACGATCATTAATTTAGTTAGCATTGATTTAAGCCCATATGCATTATAAATTAGACAAAAGCTGCATTGTACAGATTTAAATATACCTAGCTGTATGTCTTCATTTCACTAGATTGGCTCTCCAATGTCTAATTTGCAAACCAAACAGAAATTTCCAATCCTTTAGGAACCCGCTGATCTGAGCAAACAGTTCCCAGACTTGGCCGATGACTTTGATATGCCCAGTTTCTTTGAACCGAAACAGTTTTTCTCCAGTGTCTTTCGCATCAGCTCATGTGGTCTGCAGCTGTGGACACACTATGATGTGAGTACTGTTATGTATTGTTCAAGTGGTTCTCTTCAGGCCATGACACACTTAACTGTAAGATATCAGTAGCAAGCAGCCCCTAATTTTAATGAATGAATTAGTAAATTTTTTAGAACACGTTGCTCCTGTGTGAGTTTTGCCTTTGCTCTTTTAGGTGATGGACAATCTGTTAGCTCAGGTGACGGGCACAAAGAGAGTGGTTCTTTACAGCCCCCAAGATGCTTCACACCTCTACATGTGTGGTAAATTTCTATGCAAAAAAATTCCTTTCTTTGGTTTAAAAACTTAGAATGCAGTTTTGCGTTAACTATTGATTTTGCGTTTCTTCTTCTATTAAACTCAGATGTTGACATGTCTGATGCTGATGTTAGTTGCACATTAGTAACTCCATGCATTATTTCTGTACGCTGTTTAATTACTAATGTAACCCATCAGGTGATAAGTCAGAGGTCCTGGATATTGATGCCCCTGATCTGAAACAGTTTCCTGAGTTTGTGAAGGCAAGGAGATATGAATGTGTGCTTGAGCCTGGTGATCTGCTTTTTATCCCTGGTAAGGAGGGCAGTCCACCAATTCTTGTCACGCAGTCTTGCCATCATACCACTCTAGAACTGGTTTTATATGTTAATTACATTCCATAACTGCTGTTTTCCCCAGCCCTGTGGTTCCACAATACCCTTGCCCTGCAGTTTGGAGTAGGTGTTAATGTGTTCTGGCGCCATCTGCCTGAGGATAGTTATGACAAAAAGGACCCATATGGTAACAAAGACCCTGTGGCTGCTGCTCGAGCTCTTCATGCTCTGGAGAGGGCTTTAAATATGATTGATGAACTTCCACCAGAATATAAGGAGTTCTATGGGCAGCGGATGATTCAGCGCATCCAGAAGCGGACATGTTGTGAAAGCCTGTCAGCGCAAAACCTGCATAATAACTGTGACCCTACATTACCCAGCATCCAATTCACTAAACCTGGATGATTGTACTGATGCAGTAACCAATGATGCAATAAATGAGTATTACTCTCCCTTCTGTGTTGTCTTAAAGTATCAACCTAAACAAATTTGGATTAAAAAAAATGCCAATATTTAAACATCTGGAATTTTGAATATCACTGTTAGTACAGAATTCCTTATCAGAGGATCAGCATTTTGATTTGCTCTCAGAAGTGAAGTCAGTCGGTGTTGAATTTTTGAGAGGAAGTGAAACAAAAAAAACAAAACAATCATAATCATACCTTGGGTTCAAAATATCTTTTGTTTATTTTTCACCATGTTCAAAAACAACAACATAAACACCTGATTAATATTGACTGTATCATTCACACATCACTTAAAGAACCCAGACCAATTAGCAGCGAAACATCCAAGGGTGTGTATTACATAAAATGGCTCTGCTACCCATACATAACATCAGATTGAATGTTAAAAATATGGTTTGCTCTCGCGAGTGGTGCGGTGGTTAGTACAGTGGCCTAACAGCAAGAAGGTACTGAGCTCGAGCCTGGGGGACCCAGGACCTTTCTGTGTGGAGTTTGCATGTTCTCCCGGCTTCCTCCCACAGTCCAAAAACCTGCATGTTAGGTTGATCTGAGAATCTACTGTGTATGGTTCTTTGTCCTTGTAGGTCTTGTGTGGCCCTGCGATGGACTGGCGGACTGTCAAGGGTGTATCCCGCCTCTTGCCCATTGACCACTGGGATAGGCTCCAGTTCTCCCCACGACCCCATTAAGGAATAAGCGGTAACAATAATGAATGGCTGGTGTGTTTGCTCTCGTTTCTTACCATACAGGTTTTGCGCATAGGCTCAGCAGCAATAGGTTTGTTAGGTGATCAGACAACAGTAATCTATCTCCATTGTGATGTATGACTGACTGTATGTGTGTGGCTGAGCATTTCTTAGCAAATTCAACAATTTCATCATTTTGTCCTGTATTTGAGATTATCTCAACTTCAAATTTTAGAAAGCGGTTATCCAAAAAATATATATAATATCATTATCAGGCCAAACTCCAATTTCTGTGTAGGGACTTTTTAATGCTGCAGAGGATCTACAGCATTGAAGTTCCAGTTCCATTTAAACTTTGATTCTCTTACCATCGTTTATTCCAAATGTAAAAAGCATCTTAACAGACCAACTGATGAACGTGGCTCGCTTTGTTTAGATTAGAAACGGTCCCTTTTGCAGTTGTTTCGGCAAAATTATGCTGTGCTTATTTAGAAAAGCTGGAGAACCTGAGATACATACTGTAACCTTAACTCCTGTAATATGACACTGAAAATCAGCCAAGTTTTAAAATGAATCTACTAAGATAACTGAAAAAAGTCAGATATATGATAAAAAAAATCTGAGTTAAACATTTTATTGCACAAAGATTACAGTTTTTCAGGTTTCTTTACAAACATTTATAAGCATTGTAAACAGTGAAGCAGCACCTCCCCAGTGTGTTCAATACAACCTGCAAATATCAATTTGAGTCCTCATCATGCTTTACTTTTTTTCAGTATGTCTCATCACTTATGGATGTGCACAAGAACCTACCAGTGACAAACCACGTGAAGCCTGGAGATCTGAGTGTGTCCAAGGAGAAGGGGAGGGTGGTAGATTATTCAATAAACTGCTAATTGACAGTGACAATATATATATGGTGTATGTGGGTGCAGAGAGCCATTCAAACCAGATATTTTCTCCTTCATTCCAAAACTGCTTATAAATGATTAAACTTGGGATGCAAAATTCAAAGAAAGCGTCCTAGAATCCTATGAGTTCCTGAGGGTTTTCCCCCTACAGGAGAGTTTATTTTTTTTATTGTGACAGTACGCACACGTCCATTTTCTCGGTTTCTTCATGGGTGTGTGATTGGTGGCATTAAGGATTCCCCTAAACACATTACAGAAATGGCACATTGCGTGTTGGGTTTCTCTATCCTGCGAAAACAAGGTTTGGCTTTTTTTTCTTTCTTTAGCTCTTTTTCCATCTTAAGGTCGCTTTTAGTCCAATGGTTTCTGAAAGTAGACTGGTTTCTCTTCCCAGTGGATCAGCCACTTTAATGCACTGAAGCCAATGAGTAGTCTGCAGCTGCTACGGGGTTTGTGCCATACCACGGCTTGACTTAATCTTTTCTAGTCTCTTTGATAGGTGGCTGTTGTTTGATTCAAGTTCTTCCACCTTATCCAGCGCCGACCGCAACTGTTGGATTTAATGAAAGAATGATCATTTCACCATTATCTTGTCTTGTTAAAGAACAAAAAGTGATAGTTTTTAGTTTTAAGACAGTGTAAGTAAGAAAATAATGTTCTGCCTCTCTCTGCAGTTTGCGTTTCTCTGCTTTCAATTCATCCTCTATTTTTTCTGCATTCTCTGCAGCAGATCTGTAACGCGTCACTTGTCCTTCCAGTCGGGTCACCTGGGTAGAAAATAAACAATCCTCATAAGTGTGTCCACTGAAACAATTTTCAACACAGCACAACAAATACTGAAGGCATTCTTCAATAGTTACATACATTTTGCTCCAAAGCTGTCGCTTCTTGTTCTGTCTTGGCCAATTTGAACTTCAATTCATTGATTTGCCTATTGGCGTCTCCTAGTATAGCAAAAAACAAGAGTTTTCACTCATCAGAACACTGAAGTAAGACAGAAACTGTGTTTTCAAGCATATGTACACTTACTCTGCAGGTCCATTAAGTTGGGATCATTGCCATTTTCAACAATTGCCCCATTTGGACTACAACCGCCGTCTGTGCCATTCTTCTGTGCTTTCTGTTCCAGCTGGGCCTTTAGCTTCTTTATCTGTAAATGTACACATATCAACAAAAATCTGCCAGCATCACTCAGTCACAACGTACAATAGATCAAGAATTTCATCATAGATCAGTGTTCTTACCCATTTACCCGTCTATATTTACTTTGATATAGATGTTGGATTGATGCACCACACACTTTTAATGTCATGGGAACAAAAAAACAAAAAAAAGGATAGATGGGCATATAGCTCCCCAGGTGACAGCGTTGCTGAGTAAATTAAATGACTCTGTGGTTAGCAGCCAAGAAGGGAGCCGTTTGAATTTTGTTCTGCAATCCCAGAATTCCTTGCAGCTGAAACTTTTAGAGACCCCAGATTACTGTCATCCAGTTGTGCAAATTGTTAATGATGAGGACAAGATTAACGGCACATGAGTAAAAGTCGTTCAGTTCAGTGCCTATATCTTTCTTTTTAAAATACCACACAAAGATAAAATTATATATTAATATATTTAATAAAAAAATAAAAAAATAAATTTTTAAAGATGTTAATTTACATGATAGTCACATTCCAATAGTGTAGTAATGTAGTGATATTTCGCTAAAAAAAATTCTTCAACAGGATAGGGAGATAGAAAGAATCTAAATATTGAACACAAGGTTTCAACATGGTACGGTAAATCATGTTGGATTAGTAAGTCTTCATCAAGGACAACATTACTACATTAGGACAACTCAGGGGATCATTTAGTGAAGGCACGTTTCCCCCCAGCTTTTCTGAAGATAGAACAGGGGCAACAGCTAGGACCCATTACAGTTGGCAAAAAATTGCATTTTAAATACTATCAGACAGATTTAGGTTTCACTGTTCTCTTAGACAATACATAGCTGACTTACCTGCTCTATCATTTTTTCACGTTCATCCACCAGTTTCCTCAGGCGAATCTCTGAAACAACAAAGCACTCGCATTAGAAAATTCCTGAAAGTTTTTAGGCATGACCAATTACACCATGTCACAGATCAGTGTGACTTACTTTCTACAGTTAATTACAGCTTTCAGGAACCAGCTTGGAATTAAAATAAAAACTGAACATACCAGGGGGGGTTGGGGGGTGGGAGGAGCCAAGGAGATGGTAGGAAGGGAGAGAGACGTTTGATGCATGCAATAAAGTAGTCATCCATGGGTGGGTTGATGGAATGATGGAGTGTGTGAGGGGAGGGATGTTAGCATGCACTGAACTGTGAAGAGAGGGATCAGTCCACGAGGACACAGCATATACATTCACATGATATATGACCGCACAAAGTATGCTCCAATAAGGCAAACATTTAATGAATGGAGTCAAATGGAAAGACTAAACATTTTCTCAAAGGAGAAATGTTATCAAAACAAAAAACATTTCATTACAGTTGTTCCTTTAAAGCAGCATTTTAAACAAGCCAAAACAGAGTTTTCATTTGCACTTTAATCTATTCATTTGTAAAGAAAGAAATATAGGTTGTATTTACTTATTTCTTTTTCAGGAGTCTTTGAGGATGAAACAATATCTGTCTGGGCATTTTCCAGGTTTAACTTCATCATCACAGCAAGAATATTTGAGTGCTAGTTTTCTGGTCGCCTCATGAGAAAAAAAACTTTCAAATCCAGCTATCATTGTACAACTTGTGAGTTGAAAAAAGTTTAAAAAAACAATCTGTTGCAGAATATTTGCAGAGATATGAGACATATGACATTAGAAGCAACTTGATGTTGCTACCATTACATAAATTACAAATGAAGAAATGAGATCACTGACAATGACCTATGGGTACATATGTTTATTTCTTCAAAAGTTGATTTTCTAAACTTCATTTCTACCTTTTCACTTTAATAAAAAGAGCTGAGATTGCACACACTTCCAAAATTGTTGGTTTGAAGTCTTTGAGGCTTGAAAATCTTTATTTATCAATTTTTTACCAATTTGTTGATTGCTTGCTGAAAAACAATGAGGAGCATATCAAATAATGCGTGAGCATTCTAGTGGCAATCTGCAGACTAAGACATCTTGCAATCTTCTTTGCCCTTGCCTTTCGCTTTCTTGCCGTTTTTCTTTGCATCCTCTGTCGTCTGCTGTGCCGCCTCCTTGCTAACCAGCTGGTCAGCGATAATTGGTGATTCCAAGTCACTCTGTAGCTCAATGGCGTCTAATCCTTCCTCGACTGGCGAGGACACGATCTGGGTAAACCTTTCTGGAGCAACAGCTAACTCCTCGAAACTCAAAGCCTTTTCTCCCTCTGTAATTTGCCTCAGCTCGTCACAAATTTTCTCTTGTGTCGTAATTTGTTCCTCTGCACATGCGGCTTTGACTTCATCAGAGGTAGATTCACAAGGCTGTGAACTCTGACTTTCTTGAGGCAAACTAACTGATTCATTATCCACAGCATCTACCTGACAATCTCCATCCACTGTGCAGTTCTCCTTATTGCCCTCAGCCTGGTATTTTTCAGTGTTTTGATTAGACTCAGTGTCCTTGATTCTACTATGGCAAAACGCTGAACTGCCACTGTTGATTTCATCTGATGCAACCTCAACTCCTTCTTCGACTTCTTCTTGTTCTGGATAATTGGAAACATTGGACGTTGCCGCTATTTCCTCATCCATGTCGTCAAAATCGAAAGACTGCCCTTCCTCAGCTTCTGCATCCTCTTCATCGGAATCCAGCTGGGTGTGTTGGCATGAATTGTTACCCTCACATTTCTCATGACCCTTTAAAGGTTCTGGATTTTCATGACTGTCCGACCCTAGATCCACAGGACAATCTGCCACTGAAGATTCTATTGGGCGGAGAGATGTATGTGACAATCCTCTGCCATCTGTTTCTTCAGCGTCTGACTTATAAGCCAGATGCATGCATTGTAGTGCCTTTTCAATCTCAACAGTCTCAGTGTTTTTTGCCACTGATACACAACTGTCTCCTATCTGTAAGGAGCTGCTTGATTCAGACAGCCCTTCAGGTTTTTTTATGTCTACATTTAGCCCTTCCACTTCAGCCAAATCTCGTCTTGGCTCTGATTTACCATAGTCACAACTTTGAGATGTGATGCCTTCTTGTGCAATGTCTACCATTCGGTCACAGTCATGTGTGACTGCTTCGACTGCCTCAGTTGCCTCATCAGGACTCTCATCAGACCTTGCCATTAAATCACCGCTGCTGCCTGAGTATATGGCTGCTGGTGGCTCTAAGTCACCATAAGTGAACTTGTAAGGAGACGGCGGTGAAACAAGCATATTATCTTTATTCTCTGCAGAACTGCTTGTTGATCCAGAATCATCAACAACAATTTCACTATTTTTGTTGTTGCATGTTTCCAGGCTGCTTTTAGGGTTATTAATTATGCAATCTGTTTTGATCTCACCCAAAAACTTGGTTTCATTTTCGAAGGTTCTTGGCACGGTGTGGATGTCTTCCCTTCTTGAGTTGGATAGACCCTCTTTCCCAGGACATTCAATGCTTCCTGTTTTCTTGACGTCAGATAGAAGAAGGCTGGCCTCTGGATCAGGACTAGTTACAGATGTAATTGCATCTACGTTCTCTGCTTTTGATGTAAGTTTGTCATGTTCTTTGTTCAAAGTGGTATTTGTTTTGGAATTAAGACTTTCAAGAGTAGGATAGCTTTCCATTTTTTCTACTTGCTCTATTTGCACTGTTTCCTCCTCTTCTTCTAAATCTTTATCTTGATCAGCTCTAATTATGTTGAGACAAGGCAGCTCAGTGACCACCATTTCTTCCAGTGTCTTGATAGTGACACTTTGTCCTTCGCAAAGCTCACTTGAAACTTGCTCCATGACTGGGTCTTGGAGAACTTCCTTGTGAAAACAACTTTCATCAGGTTCCGTTGGCTTTGCTGCATTCAATTCTTCAGCTTTTTGCTCATCGTCCACATACTTGACCCGATCAGATTTGGTCTTCGAGGCATCAGCGACACAACTATCAACGTTCACCTTTGTTGCCGATTCTTTTGCAGATTTGTTGTTTGCCTTATCTGTTCCAGATTGTTGCTGGTTCTTGTCATCATGTGTCCCTCCTTTCTTTTTTGCTTTCTTTTTCTTTTTCTTCTTTTTACCTGAGGTTGTGGAGGTCTGGGATTCATTTGGCAATTCTTCTGCTTTATTTCTCTCTGCTTTGTTTATTTCCTCATATTCTGGTTTTGAGGTATCAGTGTTTGATGCAGCTGGGATGACCTGAACAGCTAAATTCTCTTTGGCCACTCTGGTATCTCTTTGCTGTGGACATAATTCTGCACACTTCAAACTACTTCCCTCAATATGAGCCTGTTCTTTTTCTGGCTGGTTGTAATATGTCTCTCTAACATGGTCACCGTGGGTATCAAGACTGTAGGCATCTGTCTCCATTAATTCTGGGTGGTTTATAGACTCCCCCTCATCACCTTTCATTTGTGGAACACTTTCTACATGACTTGTTTGAATCTCCTTAGAGTCACAGTGCGCAACAACAAAAGCATTAGCTGCAGTTGTTGGACAGACATTCAAGTAATTTCTATTGATACTTTCTCCAGAAACATCCTCAGTTGGTAAGCATGCCTGTTGATCTTCTAGAGACTGTTGGTCACTACATAACCCAATTGCAGACATTTCAGCAACATTACAATGCTTAGCAGAGCTCAAGTAGTTTTCTTTCTCCTCTTCAAGTATCTTTTGCTGTTGCTCTGGATCCGCTTCTTCGTCTTTGTAACCCATCAAATCTGTCTCCTCTGCGTTGCCTGAGAGATCACGAAGAGCACACGGTGATAGAAAGCCCAAAAAAAGAAAGAAGAGATTTTCAACTTACAATACAGCATTCTTCAGTCAAGGAAAGGAAGAATGACCAATTGACGCCGTGGCCAGAAAGAGAAGCACAAAGCGAAGATGTACAAGAGAAGCACAAGAAAGACAAAGGCAGGATGATCGCCATAGAGAAACTCCTGACTTCCAGCACCTCTGTGGGACAAGGGAAGAAACCTGAGGTTGGATCTAGACAATACTCCAAAGAAATCACCTTTTAAAATGAACTCTGAAAGGTGTTAAGAACCACCACCACCTGCATTAGAGTTAGTTGTAATTGATGTGCTGAGTGTTAATAAAGAGAAGCATAGTAAGACAGACAAGTAAAAGTGTAGAAATGAAGACATAAAACTCATGAAATGTTTTTAATTTAAACAATAAAAAAAAAACGTTGACTCTTAATTTTGACTCTTTTTCTTGTATCTCAACAACAGATAAGCCCAGTGTCCTTTTTAAAAAAAAGATTTTCACAAGCCAAAAAAGATTTAGTTATAAAAACAAATAGGCATTCTCTCATTTGGGCATTGGTGACAATATCAGATGTGGATGTGTGCAACTTTTACCCCACCCGAAAAAAATTAAATAAAATCAAGTGGCCATGTCTTTAATAAAAACAACCTAGGAGGTTAACCTGCTTTTAATAATAAACCATTTCAGTCAACTTTATGTTAATCAATATTTAAGAAATCTTTTCATTAATGCAGATACCTCCTAACCCAGAATTTAGCCTTAATGGGTCAAAAGTCACCTGCTACAGGAGCACATCCTTTAATTGCCTTTATCTCAATTTTTCATCTTGAAAAGTCATAGACAGCAGTTTACTTGATTTGGATACTTCATTCTTCATGTGCAAGTGTTGTTCCCTAAATATCAGCTAACAAAGTGACGATAAATTTGGTGAACTTTTAGCAGTGGTGGGCCGTCAGGGCCTGCAAGGGCTTCTCTGCAGGCCTAAGAAAATATCTGAATTACAGACTGATGTAAATTATATTTTGTCCATGGATACTTATTAAATATCTCTAAATAGTCTGTCCGCTTCTTTTCATAGCTTTTCCCCTGGTTGTGCTGCTTCCAGACATGCATTTTCATATAAAATCATTTGTTGCTAGGAAATGTCAAAGTCAAAGACGTCTGCCAGGGGGCCTTCACAATCCGTTCTGCAGGCCCCCCTAACAGAAAACGCATGTGGATTAAACTGTTGCTTTAACCAATCAGATTTTAAGTTGGTGACACCAGGGCCTTCTAGAAGGATAGTCAGATAACGTACCAGCCAAAGCTAGCAAACTAACTTTGTTCGTGTAATAGCTATTTTATGATTTGGTGGGAGATTTACTGTCAAAGTCATTTTCAAAACTGACTTTTCAAGAAAAGTAAGTGAGTAAAATGTTGCTTTTTTTCCAAATAATATTGCGAGTTTATGAGGATATTATTGATGTTTTTTTTTGTTTTTTTTGGGGGGGGGGGCGTCGCAGCTGTAGCTGCAGTAGTAGAAGACTTGTGCACCCCTGATCATTATACTGTATTTTAAGCTTGAGAAAATGCCGATACAGACTCCAGATCCATTTTTTTAAAAGTCCGATCCCACACGAGCATTAGCATCTGTAACCTACAGGGCTGTGTCCTAAACATTAAGTTGTTATAAGAGTAAATCCCTGTTCAACATAAGTCTGATAACTAAGTAAGTAGCTAAATAATTTTCAACTTTAATACAAAAACCTTGATCGGGACATCCCTACTGTATAAAATAGTTATTGAGGGGTGAATTGATTCAGACGGAGCACTACTGAAGGCCTAAGTGTGAAATGCACGATCCGCCACTGGTTTTTAGGGAATGTCTATTGCGTTAGCTTGAAATGTTAACATCTAATAATAAAAAGCAACTAAATTATGCCTGAGGCACTTCTAAAAGTACAGAGCAGGACTTTCTGTTTCCAGAAATATACCAATTTTAACTTTCAAGAAACAGCACACATCAGAGGTGAATTAATATTCCAAGGACACAATGCTGAGAAATTAATTAACTGAACAGTTCACTCGAAAATAAATCAATAAATCCATCAGTTCAATTAATTTTGGAGTTAAACTCTTCAGTTATTCCCATGCCAAGCCATGCAGTGAGAAGAAATAAAGATTTCAGTTGAATATGAGTTTTACCAAGCATACTGTTCCCTTCTGTCAGGGTGGTCGGGCAATCGTGACCCGATTGGGAGGCAAGTTCTGCTCCAGGGGACCCGTCATCTTTTTCTTCACCTGCATTTCCATTGATGTTCAAATCCGGTCCCAATATTATTCCATGTTTCTAAAAAAGTTTTCCAAATGTTAGCACACCAGATAAATAAAGTATCTATCTCTCTATTAGTCAAGAAACAAGAGAAGTATCTACACACAGAGTACCTTTAGAATATCTTTGAGATTCACCACCTCCTCTCTGAGCTCATCTCGTTCAATTCGGATAGGATCTGTGTACTCTTTCTGACGCTCTAAAGCCTGAGCAGAGCCAGTATGAATAGGAATGGAAAGGAGATTGGATAAAAAGTGAAAAGATGGAAAGAGATAAGTTCTATTTTCATGCAAAGAAGATACTTTATTGGGGTCAGTAAAATGTAAAAGAGAGGGATTCACAAAGTATATCCCATATGAATGCTGCAATAGGGTTCAAATTGCATACCCCGATTTTTTTATCCTTCCACTCCACAGTCTCCTGCAGGTCAGATATTTCTCTGACAAAAGCATCTTGCTTCATACGCAACTGACGGATCTCCTAAGCAGCAGAAGATTTAAAGCAAAGTTGAAAGGAAACAGAAGTAAGTGTAGAGAAAACATGTTCTGCGTGATAAAGGAGCAGAAAGTTGTGAAAACAGCCAAAACATGTGGTCCTAGTCAAACTAAAAACAAAAACTTGAAGAATTGACTTGACAAAACTTGACTGACAAAGAATTGACTCGTTGAATAATATGTCTAATAGTATGTCAAGCTAAGTTGAAGCAGTTGCTGCACTGTCCACTACACTCATTGTGACACTCACAATGAATTTTCAAGGGTGCAAAAATACTCACGTTTAGGAGCTCCTCGCTTTGTTTTAAAGTCTCTTTCATTTCATTGAACTGAAACTGAAGCAGGCTGTGAGCATGTTTCTCTCGTTCGTGTTCCTGCATGAAAGTGAGACAGCTTTACATCTAGTCAGCTCAGCTGTTTTCATTTTAAAAACAAATCACACCAAAGGTATCACGGAACAGTCACTCTCGCTTAGAAGATGACTACTTTAAATGCTGGTGTAATTGCATTCAGCAGTAATAACCTCATATCAGCTTATATCTATGCCATCATATTTTTTCCCAAAATCTTTTTAGAATTTAATATTACAGCATTTTACATCCACTCAGAATATTATAATCAGATGTGTTTGACTAAAATCCAGATTTCAGTCTGTGTAGGACAGAGCCTAGCAAATTTATGTTGGAATTTAGGGTGTTGAGGTGGTGTTTTACGATAATTACATTTTATGTAAGCTCAAATTAACTTGTTCGCCTCAAACAATGTGCTAATTTCCAAAAAGAAATTGCTCTGTTATGGGGGCAGAATAAACTTTAAAAACTCTGAATAAATCTAACTAAAAATTTGATATAAATTAACGTAATAAATAAACATCAGAGAGCAAGTAGAAATATCTGATACTTAGCATTGATCTTTGAGAATGTGATACTTCCACAGCAGAAATGGCTTTGCTTTGTGTTTTGGTTCAAAGTGTATATTTAGAGGTTCAAACGTTTATGCACGAGAGACACATTTAGCCTATTCAAATGGAAAATCTGCTTTAAAACTTGGATTAAGTACATGGCATAATGTAACCCCTTGTCCCGTAGTCTATCAGCTGTACCTTGGCTTTCTCCTCACACTCCCGGCGAGACTCAGACAGCATCTCCTCCAGCTCCATGAGTGAGTCTTTAAGTGTATCCACCTGATACATCAAGTTATTTTTCTCGTTATCCAGCTGAGCATTGGATACCATGGCCTTACGAAACTTCTCTTCCACTTCTGCTAAAGCTTCCTAATGAAAAGACACAATGAAAGGCAATTATATAGATGCATGTCCTATCCTTAAACTAAACAATAAATAAAGAAAAGAATATATGTTAATAGTAATGGATAGATAGCTAGCAGAGGTAAAGCCTTGTACGAGACTCAGTGGAGCAACTTTAAATATTTCGAAGTAAAAATTTGTTGAAGCAGCAAAAGCTGTTATCAAAAGTCAAAATGAAAATTGTGACCTGCACAGTTGGATTGCTGTTTGGCGCTTTTTTACAAAAGAGACAAGAAACAGTAGCAGAAACAATACATTTTGCCATTGAGATTTGACCTTCACAATAGAAGTCAATGTCTGCCAGTTTTTTTTTCCACCTCACCCAGGGCACTAATACTATATCAAAAATGCTACAAAGACATACAAACAAACAGACAAAGAACCTTTATAGTCATGACAACATAACAGCCATTGTTTGTTGAACTATAGGGGTTGAAATCTAGCTCCATTGTAAAGAAATAAGAATAACTGAGGACAAGAAGACGATGTTTTGGGCACCAAAACAGTTAGTTGTGTGAGCTCGTTAGCCTTCGAAGGGTCTAAGACTTTCTACCTTAACTTCTTTTAGGTTCTGCGTGTACTTGGTTTCCGCATCTTGAATTTGATCCTTGAGTTCATGTATCTCCTGAAGAATGAGTGCGACAATGGTAAGCAGAGAAGCACAGTGTAGAAAGGTGAAGCAGAAAAGTTGTTGGCCAGATGGTGACAGTTTGACGAGCATTTAGAATACAAAATTGACATAAAATGAATGGGACACATCATTGAGCGAACGATAGACACATTTGAGAAAACCAGGTTTCTGATGGTTGTGTGGTGCAAATTGGCAATTATTTTCAAGATTACTGATTCACTGGACTAAGAAAACAAATGGTAAAAACAAACATAAAAAACATTTAACAAGAAGCAGAAATTGAAATTAAGCTTATTTCACTGTCAGGATTCCAAACTACTGTTTCAGTATCTGTCCAAATGAACTATTTCAACAGCGAACTAGCTTTTCAACAGTAGTATGGGCTTGAATCGACTATTAACTGGACAGTACTTTGATCTCTCGAATGGAGCCCTCAGCATCCACGGTTAAAGCCGTTTCTCCGCTTCCTCTCCGGGAAGATGTCCCACCCAAAGAGGTGAGGGTTGCTGCTGTTAAAGCGGACGCTGCTCGAGATCCCTAATGACAGAGACATAAATAAAGTCATTACTCTTCACAGACTAATGGCAGCAAAAACAATGGCTTTGATGAGAGTTGCTTACCTTCTCAAGAAATTCTCTGTCCTCCACCTGTGAGGGGAAATAAAAACTAAACTGTTATAGCACACAGACAAAGTTCAGGGGGAATGAGCATGGGGAACAGAGGAGGTCCCATAATCCAAACTACAGCCATCTGAGCAATTGCTAGAAAATGTCCAATCACATATGAGTACAAAAAAGCAACAAAACACATTTCCAGACAACTCCCCCGTTTGCTGTACATTCTTCAAAATATTCAAGAGATCATGAAAAAAAACAACAATTGCGCAAGACATTAACACAGCAAATCTCTTTCAGAGATAACTCATGCAGAATTAGTGAAGTTTAAAAGCACATGAAACTGATTGTATCTTCAATTGTTAAGTACAGATGTGCAGACAAATGTAAGACTAGGTTGTGATGTACACTTTTGGATCAAAGGCAAATCACCTCAGCTGAGACAAAGTCAGTGAGCAACCATGTGCAGTCAAAGTAAACACAAGAAATGTGGGTTTAAAAAAAAAGACCAGGCTCCGTAGATGTTTACCTTAATTCAAGAATTAAACTTCTAAAACAATGATCCCTACACAGACCAGTGAGCAGTGCTAACCAACATGTCATTAGGGTCATCAGGTGGGAAACTTCCTTTTGTCTGTGTTTTGTCTAGTTAACCACGTTACCTCTAGGAGGATAGACAATAATCACTGGTGTCACAGAGTCATTCCTTTAATGCCAGCCATCACTGCTCCTCACACCACAGCAACCATCTCTTCTTCCATACCTGGAGAACTATTATCACCTACCCCAGCCTACAGGTCACAGCGGGGTTTGAGGGTAGAAATAAAAGATAGATAGATAAGTAGGAATGGGATGCGAACCCTGCTTCGGATAGGGGGTAATGAAGTAAAAGTATAGGAGGTGCCATAGGTGGAGGCAGTACAAGACGCACTAGGAGAATCAGCAGACAAACTCTCTTAAACTTTCCAACAGTCATCAGCAAATATAAGGTGGGCCACCTGGTTTCAAAATGCTCACATGGGTCACATCCTCCACTTAAATACTTCCTAGATTTCTCACTTGCTCCCCCCAAAAGTCTGTCTATCCTAAGTGCTCCCTCTGCTGGGCCCCTCCACTAGTATAAGTTTTCAAAAATCCAAATCCATTGACATGTCCTTCACTATTTTCCTCACAGTCTGTCCACTTACACCTAACTCCCTAAACAATCTAACAACAGACCTAGGCTAGGCTTGGTTTGAATTCAAAGTAGACAAGAAACTTGTTCAACAAAAATGATAAAGAAAATAAAAAACCATGGACCAGACTCAGTGTATAATTCCCTAAATTGAACAGTTAAACTTCTAATACTATGTCCCTATATAGACCAGTGAGCAGTGCTGACCAAGCAGTGCTCACTAGAATGAAGGGCATAAAACTATATGCGACAATGCAGAAACTCGGCTTTTGTTGCCTCAACCCCCAGCTGGATAGGGGATGAGCACAAACTTTTGTTACCTGAAACACGCAGTTCTAATTTTCCTCAAAAAACCTTCCAAAAGAACTGCAGCTGTCCTACAGCAGCAACCGAGTAGCAACACAAACACTCAGGATGCCAAAACAGAAGCAAAAAATCTCACTGAAAAGAGGAAAAACCAATCATGATTGATACATGAGGAAAATAGAAACCACTTAAACACACCGAATGAAAAACAACAAAAACTTTGTGTTCTGGTGAAGCAGGCAGCTTCATCCACTCATTGCTAATGAACCAGTGAAGACTTTCTTTCCAGTTGGTATCAAATTCAAATTTCAGTAGCTTGAATCAGCAGCTGCACTGTATTTTTTCAATGTATTCAAAAGTCACCAAGTAAGATCACTGGAGAAAGTGAAATTCACTTAACATGCAACCTTGAATCTTGTATTTTAGAATAAAACTTGACACTGTGCTTATAAAAGGCTGGGACGGGTCCCATTTTGTACATGCACTGTCAGTGTAGGAAGAGCCTTGAAGCTGGATCGAGACCAGCACAGGGTATGACTTCTTTGAATCATTTGATTTCCCTCTGGAGCAGAATTATACACAATAATAGATACATATATGTATATAAATATATAAAATACCACACCCTCTCAGAACCATTAAGATAAGAGAGGTTTTTGGATCAGTTTTGAATCTCTATCTTTAAATGATTTAGCCATGGCAAACAACACATCATGCAGTAACCTCACTGCCATACAAGTTCATACTAGGAAAGACCTACTCACTCTCAACACAGAGTAAGTAGAAATTGCACGTTAGCTTCTGACAAAAGTTGTGACTCGATAGAAGTGCACATGTAACCATTAGCTATAACACTAGAGAGGGTCTAATAAAATATTAAAATGAACAAACATGCAAACACTGTTTTTTTTTTCACGGCCTACCAATTGCAATTCATCACCGACTTTCAACTACGTGATAATCAACACTCAACACTGATATGTTATATTGTTCCAGATGGATAATGTTAGCCTACACAAGCAGAGATGCTTGGAGATGTTGATGGTGTGCCAGCATCACTGGCACACCATCGATAGTGAATAAAATCTATGCTGTGAATAGATACTTCACATCACACAGAAACACTGTTTAGTACATTCAAGTGCTCATATGGCATTCAAATTGTTACATGAGCTTTAAGAGACATGATTAGTTTAAAACTTTCATGGCTGTAGGGGGACTCTCACCACTGGACTGGCACAGGCTGAGCTGGCCCTGCTGGAGGCTCTGGAGCTGGAACTGCGATAACTAGTGTACTCTAACGGCTGCAGAGAGAGGACACCATTATGTCTCTTCTAGCCAGCCCACACACAAAAAATGGATGAAAATAAAAAACAACAACTTTTAACCTTGGGGGACATTAGGTAAGAAATTAGTCAACAAAAATGTGACTAAGTTTCCGATTCAAAACAACTTGTTGGTCAAAGTCCATTAAAAACAGGGCACAAAGCACTCACTACTTTAATGCATGCTCACATTTAGATACCAATAATATCTGTTCATTTAAAAAACAACAACAACAGATATTATCTGTCAGATAGTGTTCTGACACTTTTTACACATCTGAGTGACACGTGCATCACACCCCTGTTCCATAAGCTTACGTGGGAGGCGGCGCTGGTGACTCGATGGGACCCATTGCATAGACTGTCCTCATATAAGGAGCTCTGTACACATGATGAGACACATGCACATTCCTGGTAAATAGCGTGTGACAAGGACAATTTCTAGTGGTAAGAATGAATGGTAAGAAAAAGGGTGCAATTTAACATCAGAGGGAAAAAGTCAGGGGACATTTAACTAGAGCAGTAGATCATTATCATTTCCAGACAAACTGGCACAGTTTTAGCTGCTTGTGCAGGTCTGAATGAGTAATTGCTTTTGTCATTTAACACTGAACAGCAGATAAGCTGGGAAGTAATCAACCCTTTGACATTGCTGATGGGTGATGTGACTGATGATGTGGTGGGTGATGTGGTGATGTGACCTGTGGAGCTAAAAAAAAGAAATGAACTATTATGGCTAAACATTCCTGCTATGACGAAATAATCTTGTCTTTTTGGTATTGTAAATGAGCAAATAAAAAATTATGTTTGGACAGGCTCCAAAATTACATATAATTCTTAATCCTTGAGCATGTTTCTGTATCTGGGCTCAGCGGTTTTCTGTACCCCATACAGACCTGATAACCATTAAAAGTTGAGCCGACAATTCTTGAAGAAGATACACCATTGAGACTGTACAAGTCAGAGGAGGCATAAGAGGCCTGGAAGGAGGAAGCAACAGAGATGAGCAAGGGTAAATATGGAGATACATGAGGGGAGGGGACAACCCAACATTTGAATAAGTCAACAAAAAGAAAATGATTTATCTGACTTTTTTTAACATTATATCAACACTGTGCAACTAATGAGTAAGAAACAGTGAAGTTTTTGCCTTCAAATATAAACGTACACACATGCTTCAATGATACTTGAGATTTTCATCCACTTCTATTTTTGGATGAGACAAAGCTTCTTGTTTGCATTTAAAACTGATGTTTGGACTGGCTTCAGAATGACATTTTATAGATATTCCTATAGAATTCCTAATTTACCATTATTACTGCAAAGGTGGAAAACAAGACATCCAGCATTGTTTTTAATACATTTGAGCAGAGAGATAACAAGCATTTCCAGCACAAAAATATATAATTTATTAAACATCCGAAACAGGACCTTCAGTGGTCAGAAACATGTGAGAAGAAATCCCAGAACATCAGACAGTGCAAGCAAACAAGCAATATGCACAACCGGCCCTCACTACAATAATAAACTGCTTTCAGTTCAGAGCCACCCACCGGCTGCAGGTCTAATCTGTATGGCCGTGAGACCAAGCTGTCATCACACAGTCTGGGAGTCTAAGGGGCAGGGAGCACAGGTGAACACATCAATCAATGACAAAGAAAACTTTTATTTACCCCATCTGCTCTAACAACGCATATATTTGTTTGTTCATAGTTCAGCTTTATCTAAAAAAGGTTGCTGCAATGTGCTTATGTGAATTAGATTTACATAATGCTACTATTTCATACTTCTCGCTAACTAAATCTCCCTCCTTTAAAAATACAATAACAATTAAACAATCTACAGATGGCCATCTGAAAATAGATAGTCATCTTTTAGAGTCACCTCACTGTGAGAATAACTTTCTGGTGTGTGATTTATTGCTTCAACACAATGGCAAGGTGATATCCTGTTTCGGCCTGAAGACAAGCAAACCATCATCACCTAAAATCCCCCCCCAAACAGACAGACAGACACACACACACACATACACACACACACACATGCAGCAGTTTGCATCAGAACCATTGAGTTGAACACATAGTAAGTCTTGCTCAAACCAAATGATAAAAATAGAATCATCCACAGCACTGAAATAACATAGACGTGCGGTAACTCATACATTCAGTGCATGACAACAGAGGTAATTTAATGTGGATTATTGTTGTGAATGTCGCTAACACACAACGTTAGATCTATGTTGGAGAAGCTAGAGATCCTGCTTTCGTTATTGTGTATTGAACTCTGCTAACATGACAGGAGTGGGACGAGTGACGAGACACAGCTAAAGGTTTTCCTCTCCTTGTGGTATTGCACTGCTAACAAGCATCCCTTTATTTTACAACAAATGTCTCTGCCACAGTCAGTTCAGCATGCATCTACCAACCCTGCCAGACACGACACTGTAATCGTCATCGTAGCTATTTCTCTGGAAACAAAAAACAAGAATGAAATGCACTGATACCACTTCTGTCCAGGTCCTTATTTCCTTCACATTTACAGAGCTCTTACATACATCTCTGTCTTTGTGCTTATGTTTCTTCTTTTTCTTAGACTTCTTATGCAGAGAAGAGGCCTTAGAAAGAGGGAGGGGAGGACAAAAAGAGATGAAGAAATATAAAACCAAGCTAAGACAAGAGCAGAGACTTTAGAAACACGAAAGAATCCCGCAATAAAAACATGCGCAGTCCATTTTTCGAACAGGTCCTACAGTGGTTAGATGCCCAAAAACACAGTATGCTAGTTGTCAAAGGTACGTTCAACTGACTTCAATATAGTGAGAATCCCTTCACAGCAGCAGCAACAAGCCTGAATAATCACTTGATACAGTTTTGCTCTGCATCTTCCAGCCTGGTTCACGCAAATAATGACTAAAGTTTTCCACAATGTTGCACAAATCACAAACCTGGTAATGGAACAGTTCCCATTTAACATGCACACAATAACTAGATGCTCAGCATTAAGCGTAAATATCTTTATATCCATTCAGTCTATCCGGTGTTACAAACATGCTTTGTTAGCCTTTGAACAGTGTAGGCCCTTACCACTCCACTGTATGCTCCCACTGAGTCAAGATCAGACTGAAAATAACAGACATCATCAATATGGGGCAGTAACAAAATCAGTGCCTTGTTATCAACAAGTACACAGTCTATTTTTGTCAGAAGTAATAATTTTTTTTTTTTTTTAAGTTTGAAGAACAGTTTGGATGCTTGAAAAATCTTTTGTTCATCTTCCTTCCCCCCCCCCCGCATGGGCTGTTAAAGAGATACTGACCCTGATGCTGTCACGGCTTCCCACTGAGATCCGCTCATCATCGTCTGACAGCTGTGTGGAGAAAGGGATGGTTAGGGTTTTTGGAATTGACAATGTTTGATTCATCTCAAGAATTACAACAAATTTGTATGGCTGCTTTTTCTTCTGCATGACTACCTTTATCTGTGGAGAACGACATTTAAAGTACAGGAACCAACTATAGGCCTTTCAAAAATAGGAGGAAAGGAAAAGCATGTGTTGGAAACAGAGGAAGAGCTACAAACCATGTGTACGCGTGTAGAGCGAGAGTATTTCTCACTGTCCTCCTGGGTGAGGGAGAAGAAGGGTGTAGATGCAGAAGAGATAAGGTGAGAGACGTGCAGGAGGAAATAGATATGAAAACATAGATTGATCATTAAATGGTTTGAAAAATTCAACCAAACAATGAATGAGAAGGAAATTTATAACATTAGTTCCAGATACACTTTAACCCTTTGGTAAATAGTTTTTGGAAAAAAAAAATACAATTACATTTAAAAAAAAATCATTCTTAAAAAGGTCGGCTAAACTTAGTTTTCAGTATATAACATATCAGACAGTGACTGCTTGGTTAAAAATTGGTTCTCAGAGTAAGCTTAATTTTTTACCTATAATGTTATGGTTGTAGTAATTAGAAAAAACTTTCTCAATATACTAAATTCTGGAACTCCTAAGTCCTTTCAGAAATATTTGTCATTGAATATATAATATAATATATATTGAATAAGTTGTAAAAAAAAAAAGGAATGTCAATAAATATTCTTGGATTTGATGCTTTCGGTATATTAGAACATTTCACTCAGTGAGTAATATGGGAGTAGTGCAGTGACATGTTTACATTGCCATGCCACTTGCAACGATGAGTTTAGCCAATGTACAGACAATTTCTATAAAAGGATTCATGTCAGATTCAGAGATGCATATCATTAGACCAATAAAAAGAAAGTTATCAATGCAACAAAGCCACTTCACACGGTTTACACTTAGTTTTAAACACATGACAATATAAATTCAAACTTCATGTTATTACTGTTGTTATTGGTGGAAAGCAGAATCTTAAAACTTTGTCTTCAATCAAGTCACAAGCACATCGCCAACTGAAGTACATTAATGTCAGTAAAACTAGATCTGGCACACTGAATGTCACCGTTGCGGTTTCAACTTTGCTAGTGACAACAGTCAAGCCAGCAGATCAACTCCCATGCAGTTTCACATAGCACTGCTGATCTGAAACTGAACATGCATCCAGACTCTCCGTTCTCTGGCAGAGCAGTTGTATTCGGAGGATATTCAAGTAGCTAAAAAAGAGATACAGAAGAGGAACTGCATAAAAAAACACCCACATCATCAAACCACTATCAATCCGATACCAATACCCACCATGGTATTAATACAATCGATATTTAGTGTGCCCCTCTTTGTCAAAGCCTTATTCAAATAAAAGGTTTCAAAATATGTAGGGATTAAGCATCAAGCACACACAGTTGTTAATAGGATTTAGTAAAAGAGTTATATCATATTCTTGTACCATCCACTGTTCAATATCTCCCCATTTGCTGTCCGCCCCATCATCTGGTTTGGTGTTCAAGCCATAATATTTCTAAGGAAAGACAGGGAACGAGGGCAAGAGTGAACAACCACTGAGTGCAATAATTTTATGGAACACAATCTGAAACAAATGCCTAAGTCGTTGAACGAAATGCAGTGAATTTGTGATGTGAAATGAGGGGAAGGATGAGCCTACCTTCTGCACCTGAAAGATCTACCGCACAGCAACAATAAAGGGGCACAGGGTTATTGGAGGACAAACGGGGGAGAAAAAAGTAATCAGCACAGAAAAATTAAGAGAAGGAAATAGCAAAAGAAAACATTGTAATGTAAGAAAAACAGAATGCGCTAAAAGGAACACGACCTCTGAGACCAGTTATTTTTCTGTGATTCCTTATGGCTGGTATATCAGTGGCCCATCAAATTTATGTACCTTTGTCAGAGGCCAAAGGATCTTTGTACAGTCATGGCCAAAAGTTTTGAGAATGAGTCAAATGTTAATATTTACAAAGTCTACTGCTTCAGTTTTTATAACGGCAATTTGCATATACTCCAGAATGTTAAAAAGAGTGTTCAGCATAACATCAAATAATTGCAAAGTCAATATTTGCCTAGAAAATTAACTTTATCCCCCAAAACACATTTCAACATCATTGTTGCCGAAATGGCTCCAGGGCGCCCAAGAAAGACCAGCAAGCGCCAGGACCGTCTCTTAAAAGTGTTTGATCTGCGGGATCGGCTAGCAGAAGTGCAGAGCTAGCTCAGGAATGGCAGCAGGCAGGTGTGAGTGCATCTGCACGCACTGTGAGGCGGAGACTCTTGGAGCAAGGCCTGGTCTCAAGGAGGGCAGCAAAGAAGCCACTTCTCTCGAGGAAAAACATCAGGGACAGACTAATATTCTGAAAAAGGTACAGGGGGCGGACTGCTGAGGACTGGGGTAAAGTCATTTTCTCTGATGAATCCCCTTTCCAGTTGTTTGGGACATCTGGAAAACGTCTTGTTTGGAGAAGATGAGGTGAGCGCTACCACCAGTCTTGTCTCATGCCAACTGTAAAGCATCCTGAAACCATTCATGTGTGGGGTTGCCTCTCAGTCAAGGGAGTCTGCTCTCTCACAGTTTTACCTAAAAACACAGCCATGAATAAAGAATGGTACCAGAATGTCCTCCGAGAGCAACTTCTCCCAACCGTCCAAGAGCAGTTTGGTGATGAACAATGCCTTTTCCAGCATGATGGAGCACCTTGCCATAAAGCAAAGGTGATATCTAACTGGTTTAAGGAACAAAACATAGAGATTTTGGGTCCATGGGCTGGAAACTCCCCTGATGTTAATCCCATTGAAAACTAATGGTCAATCATCAAGAGACGGGTGGAAAAACGAAAACCTAGGAATACTGACAAAATTCAAGCATTGATTGTATTTCTGTATGTGATGAAAACATCTGACACACACACATACACACATGAAAACCGGAGGGCAGCAGATCATGTGTAAATATAATATTTGTGTCATTCTCGACACTTTTGGCCATGACTGTACATACAAAGACAAGACTTTTTTAACCATAATATATTGGGGCTTATAAATGTATTTTAATGGAGACTACTCAGATAAGCCAGATGACAATATAAATGACAATGTCACTTTCAAAAGAAAAAAGAAAAAAACGTTTCACTTTCGGGAGATAAAGAAATATATGAATATATTTACTTGGCTTAAATTATTTATTTTAGGCTGAAATTATAATGATTTTTTTTATTTTACCCCTTTCTTTTTCTGCTTGTGCACCATCATTCAAAAGAGACACGTAATGAAAACTCAGCTACCGTTCGTCTCTAAGAAGAAGACAAAAATGTGCAAATATGAAAGGAAAATGGGCCAAATAAGATGGAAAAGGTCATATGAACAAATACTAGTGAAAAACCAAAGATTGTGTATCCCTGATTTCAAGTAACTACTTATGAAGCAAATACACTCCGCAGACTTGCGTTGCCGTCAAACATAACCTTGCCTTACTTTCACAGCAGTTTAAGGTTATCAAAAATGTCCCATTTGCTACACCATTGTCTCCTTTGTGAGCATAGTTCCAAACCTTCCCTTAACAAACCCAAGAAACCTAGACAATACCCTCACTGTTGTATTTCCCATTTGAGCCTTCTCCTATTTTAATCCCAATTTACAGCTACCAATTCTCCTAAACTCACAATGTACATAGATTTACTACATGGCTGTGCATTCTTGCAGAGATTATTCTGTTGAGGACCTCAATGACAACACATCAACATATACAGTGATGTGTGGCCCTTGGCGAAATCACACCTCACATCTCACCGATACAAATACGAAACATTTACTTTTCGTCATTTCACTGACAAGGTCAGGTTCAGAAGAAATTCTATCAATAGTGGAAGGTTCCATTGAACTTGCATCACAGTGAAGAGCATAAGCAAACATAAAAAATACAGAAATAACCTAATTTGCAAGTAGGTTTTTGTGTACAGTTGTCAGAAACTTCTCCACAAACTCCAACCTCTCATTTCCCCGTTACTGTGGACTAATCAAATACAACAATTCATTCAAATGAAAATCACAGCAAAATTCCACAGCAATAGAACAATTTGGCACACAAAAAAGCTAGTAGGCTGGGAACCATCATAAGCCCATACAAGTTACACAATCGGCCTACAAGCCTGTGCACATTCTGTTCAACTCACCACACTCCCATTCTTAAACAGAGGGGATCTTTGGCACCCAGTCAGGGCAGCCCTAAGCCCCCTCCCTGTCAGCCGACGTCCAGCCGTCCTGCTACCTTCAGAGAACCAAGAATGATGGCATCCTTCAGCATTCAGGGAGCAACAGCATTGAGGGTCATGCACACGGGATTACAGCAGACAGAATTACTAAGATCTAGAGCAACAACGGTATCCCACTTGGTTCGTATTTTGCTGCTATAAAAGTTTTGCTAATAGTCCATTCCTTGATTCTGTCTTTATTGTGAAAGGAAACATCCAGAAATTCCTGAGGCGGCCAAGAGTCCTCAAACCCATACCTCGGATCAGCACTACGACATCAACAATAACTATTTCATTGCAGACTAAACCAAGCAGCGCAGTGTACTAATCTTCTTTAGAACTTGGCTAAAAGGTTTAAGGGGCGCGCGCACGCACGCACGCACGCACGCACGCACACGCACACGCACACACACACACACACACACACACACACACACACACAGACCTGAGTAACCATTACAATGAATCCAGTAAGACTTGTGTGTGCCTGTTTATGCTTATACTGTGTTTTAATCTGCAACCTGTGATTTGATTGCCAAAGAACTGAGCAGAGTTTTAACTAAGTGTGGAGAATAATTTTGGGAGTAGACTTAATGCCTGTCCCAAACTTTACATTTTTTTCTAGCAATAGTTCAAGCGTGCCGTTGGAACAAGTTCTCGGTTTAGACAGGTAATTCCCAAATACGTCAAAGATGACTAAAAACAATCCCAGTGCGTTTGTAGTTCACAAACAGCTAAATTCCTGGCAAAACATTTACTTTATATTTTGTTAACTCCTCTCCGAATGTAGTTTGACTGATACAACCATAGAGCTTTTTGATCGGTACTTAAAAAACCACAACACTATATGCCACATGCTTCACATGTTGTTCACTTGTTTATTGGTAAACACACACTTGTTTATTGGTATACGCAATTGCGATTCTGGCAACTGCTAAATTCACCTCTTTTTTGTTTTCAGTAAATCTGTGCCAAAATAGATGGAATTTCTTGATTCTCAGTTGCATGTAAATTTACATGCAACTTAAACATTTCCCAAGACTTGTTGCAGAAATCTTTGTCTGACTGTCTTAGTAAAGATACTCACATTCTCCACTTTGTTGTATGTATTCACCATAACCTTTGCACAATTATTTAGAAAAAATAAATCTTGCAAAGAATGCAAAAATTGCTAAATTGTTTTGAAATTTTTGCAAAGATATTTTTTCCATATAGCTGGATAATTGAACTTCGAATCGCGCAGTTATCTTTCTAGCTTTTATAGTTCGTCTGCATTCCAAACTGAGTTTTCAACAATGGCTTACTTGTTGTCTGGTTGATAATTCAAAAACACACAAATGCTAAAATATACCTTTTCAAAATTTTAAAGTTACCTTACTGGCCGATTTATGATATTGATTAAATTATCACCATAATTTCATATAATCTAACATTTTGCAACACGTAAAACAAATTCTGGAATCAGAGTAGATGATTAGGGTCAAATAAGAGATATGAAAACAAACTTCATAAACACACTCATTTTTTCTACATAACTCACATTTTTTATAATATTTTATATGATTTATTAACCTATCAAACTAAAGAAATAATTACTTTAATTTAACAGAAATAACTGCAAATGCTACAATCCCCGAACAGATCACATATACTGTAATCCTAACTCTAATGTGAAAGGCTGATTTGAGATAGTTTAGAAAGATTTTTGTAGTCCTGTCGATAGCTACAGGCTTAGATTTTACAAAAATTAGATTTGTGTAAGAACAAAGAAACAAAGGTAGTTTAACGGAGTTTGATGTCAAGAGGTGAGAGGAAGATGTCGTTTTGTGTCGCAGATTACTGCAGGCTAAGAATAGTGTCCTTGAAAAAGTGCAAGTTCCCATGGTGAAGATCAAATGAGCTAAACCAAAAAAAAAAAAGAAAAAGTCACGTAACATACAATTGACCTGCAATGCAAAGAGACACTTACACACAGATGTTTCAACTCAGCACCTGCATATGATGCCAAACAGAGTGCTGATAAATATCATGCAATCTGGAAGTGGTAATGATGAACATTCACTTGTCCCTTTTGTTAATGGCTACCGGCTATGTGACATTTTTCCACCAAATATTGATAAAGTGGAACCTCTTTCAATTTATAAGAAGTATGATACATGGTTTACATGTCTGAAAAACAATAAGAACTGATTAATGCCCACGTGTTCTAGCCCAATTGAATCGACATAGGACTCTTTCATGTATAAAAAAGTAGTTAACCGACATTCCAAGCTACTTGAAAATGTCACGCTGAGCATGCATATAATGTTTAACAAAAAATGACTGTTTGATGTAGAGGAACGATTAAAAATGTTAGGCTAATACAATGATAGCAATAGCAATATATTTTTATACTGGCCCAATATGAATGATGGCAAGACCTGTAGTACTACACCTGTAGTAACTAGAGACTTACTAAATGTTATGGGTATTGCACTATATCATCACAGATTAATAACACTGAATGTGGTAATAAAAAAATAATAACTGACAATGTGTTTATTTTTGTGTTTAATGTTTATAATACACATGAGATAATTGCCTGCTATGAAAACACGCTTTCTCTTCCTCTAAGTTAATTTCATTCCAGTATACAAATTCACATTTTACTAATTATACTAATTTATGATTGCTCCCAGAGGTTAGGAGGCACTCTTCTTCCAGAGGAAGACAGTTCAGGATGATCTCTCTCCACAATGTAGAAGGGAAGATTTTCTTTAATGTAGTTGCACACAGATTAGCTAGTTATTTAGAAAGAAATAGATACGAATAGATACTACTGTACAGAAGGCAGGAATACCAGGTTTTGCAGGGTGCTCAAAGCACAGCAGCATGACTTGGCATCAGATTCAGACAGACAAGATTGAGAATAATTACATGCATGTTACATTTCTGTATTAAACAATAACATTTTATTCAGTGTCGTATAGCCTTTTTTTTAAAGGTATTTGATTATTTTCAATGTAGATATTTCCATACGTGTTTTTCATAAACATGAACTGCCAAGACCTAAGCTGGGGTCCTCATTTGTGTTGTTTACCATAGGATTAAAGAGCCACATAGTTAAGAATTTGCCTTATTGGCAGTTAATTCTACAAGTCCAACAAAGATTTGTGTCAAGAAGACTTTTGTTGTCCTATTGTTACTTAATACAATGTTTCATATGATATCTCTTTTTGACTACATATGCAACAACCCTTTAGAAGGAACAACTTTAACTTACAGGGAGCCTCTGTATTCTTTATAATGTTTGTGTACCTCTTTCTGTTGTCGCTCCAGCTCCTTCATGCGGATTTCTCTGGCCTCTGCCCTGGCTGCCCTCTTTGCTGCCAGCCTGGCCTCAGCCTGGAGTCAGAAAGACAGAATCATAAGTGAAAACAAACAAACAAAAAACTTAAGTGAGACAAAAATAGACTTTGCAGGTGTCAACTGACACACGTCCATAAATTTAGAAAATACAGGGGTTGGACAATGAAACTGAAACACCTCTCATTTTAGTGTGGGAGGTTTTATGGCTAAATTGGACCAGCCTGGTGGCCAATCTTCATTAATTGCACATTGAACCAATAAAGCAGACTCTGAAGGTCCAGTTAGCATGGTAAGAGCACAGTTTTGCTCAAAATATTGCAATGCACACAACATTATGGCTGACATACAAGAGTTCAAAAGAGGACCAATTGTTGGTGCACGTATTGCTGGCGCATCTGTGACCAAGACAGCAAGTCTTTGTGATGTATTAAGAGCCACGGTCTCCAGGGTAATGTCAGCATACCACCAAGAAGGACGAACCACATCCAACAGGATTATTGGTGGACGCAAGAGGAAGCTGTCTGAAAGGGATGTTCGGGTGCTAACCCGGATTGTATCCCAAAAACATAAAACCACGGCTGCCCAAATCACAGCAGATTTAAATGTGCACCTCAACTCTCCTGTTTCCACCAAAACTGTCCGTCGGGAGCTCCACAGGGTCAATATACACGGCCGCGCTGCTATAGCCAAACCTTTGGTCACTCGAGCCAATGCCAAACGTCGGTTTCAATGGTGCAAGTGGCGCAAATCTTGGGATGTGGTCAATGTGAAACATGTATTGTTCTCTGATGAGTCTGCCTTTACTGTTTTCCCCACATCCGGGAGAGTTAAGGTGTGGAGAAGCCCCAAAGAAGCGTACCACCCAGACTGTTGCATGCCCAGAGTGAAGCATGGGGGTGGATCAGTGATGGTTTGGGCTGCCATATCATGGCATTCCCTTGGCCCCATACTTGTGCTAGATGGGTGCGTCACTGCCAAGGACTACCGAACCATTCTGGAGGAACATGTGCATCCAATGGTTCAAACATTGTATCCTGAAGGAGGTGCTGTGTATCAGGATGGCAATGCACCAATACACACAGCAAGACTGGTGAAAGATTGGTTTGGTGAACATGAAAGTGAAGTTGAACATCTCCCATGGCCTGCACAGTCACCAGATCTCAATATTATTGAGCCACTTTGGGGTGTTTTGGAGGAGCGAGTCAGGAAACGTTTTCCTCCACCAGCATCACGTCGTGACATGGCCACTATCCTGCAAGAAGAATGGCTTAAAACCCCTCTGACCACTGTGCAGGACTTGTATATGTCATTCCCAAGACGAATTGACGCTGTATTGGCCGCAAAAGGAGGCCCTACACCATACTAATAAAGTATTGTGGTCTAAAACCAGGTCTTTCAGTTTCATTATCCAACCCCTGTATATGTGATCAAAGGTCCAGTTCATTGGACACTAACTGACAGATTATTAGAAAATACACCGGAAATTTCCTCTGAAATTTGTATTACATTCAAATCTTACAGTAAATATAAATAGTAGTGTAGAAACAATAGTAATCAAGTATCATTAAACTCAGAATAAATTACTGGACTGTTTATCTATATGCAATGATAATCTCAAGACTGATACAGTAATGCAGTGTGTATTGATATTTCTGTATTTGAAGTACTTCCTTATGCTCTTCTCAGCAGTCAGGCAAGAGCTGGGCCTTCTCCTTAAAAGGATCTCTCCGAGTGTGCTGTGTGTGTATGTCACAGAGTGTGTGTAAGCATTTCCTTCCTTTAACTTTGTGGTAGGCAATGTGCGGTCGCAGCCCTTTTGGCTCTAGGCGAGGCCACTGTAATACCTCCAACTATTGGCCCATGCATTTCCCCAATGTTATTCACCAAGACTGAGTGAAAGGAACACGAAGAAAAGAGCTGAGTTTGTTGGAGTTGGTGGTTAAAGCTGTACACGTGCTCAGAAACTTTACTGAATGCTTCTGTTAATATTACTTTAAATAAAAACAAATAACCAAACAGAAAACAACAGAAATTTGTCGCTGTGTGTGTCTTCTAATGTCTGCTCCACCACCACATCAATGTTGGACCATCGTGTTTTCATGTTAGGTTTTCATTCTTAGAGTCACTGCTCTCTGGTGGATCAGCAAACAGGGTCACAAACTTGAAAACGGCAGTTAACACTGGAAGACAGGAATCATTTGAAGTAAGAACAACATTGAAAATCACTCCAAAAGGCAACAGTAATTCTCTCTTATGGTTGGTTCCTGTTAAATTACAGAAACTAACAACCATTTTCATAATTTTGTTTTCCTGTTGGTCAAAAAAGCCTCGTTACCTGAGCAATGTTACATGAGTGGGGCCAATAAACCAAAACCAAAATTAAGTGAGAAAACAACTCTACCTTTATGCTCACTGAATGAGCATAACACAGTGATCATGATAGTACTTATTTATTTTATCGAAATGTTGTCAAAATGCTTCAACACAACAAATTTAATACAATATTTAAAGAACAAGCACTTGGCAGAGTATGGTGAGTTTTCAAGGCTCACTGCAGATATTGAAAAGTAGACCCAGAGTAGTCAGATGGCAGTTGAAAACAGCCCACACTTGCCGTATGAGCCTGACAGTCAGAAGGCTTTTTTAAAACTAACAATAATTTAATTTAGGTTTATTTAAATATTAACTACCATTACTTTGGACACAGTCCAAAGCATGAGCAACCTGTGTACCAACTGAAAGGAAATAGTTTATTATATATAGAATTTGGGATTCATTCTGTCATTTAAGTGACAGAAACCCAAATGTCAAAATTGCAAAGATTGATCTAAAGCTACAGCAGTGTAAACCAGACATATTGAAACATGTTTCACAAGGTCATGCTACTTAAATGGTTTAGCCTTCCGTCCCTTTTCTACAATACAATAATTTCTTTTTCAGAAACTTTGTAGGGAGGTCTCAAAATATATTATGATGTCAGATTGTACTCTGGAGTTTACATATTTCATCAGCCTCTAGTGAGAGAGACACATCTAACTAGGCCAGAAGGCACACATTCTTTCTGTGTTCCACTTTACAGCTATTTATACTGACCTGTATGGACTTTCATTCACCCAAGACTGTTCTAATTCAGCATAATTTAAATGGGATGGCTACACTCATGAGAGAAAATGATCCAGTTCCTTGTAAATAAAGATGCTCAAGATTTAAGATGGCAATTAATTCAAATGAGTTCAAGATAAAACTATTCATTTTGAGCATTCTATGTACACACAGACTATGTGACATATTTCATATTCTGCATTCCAAATCTTTGACGTTTTAACTCAGTTGACAATAATGACATTGGCCTTGTTGAAGACAAAAGTCAGCTTTTCCATATTGCCGTACTTTAGGATGGCTCACTATTATTAAATCTTGAAATATCTTAACAGTTTTTTTTTGGTGCAGTAACAACAAATTGTATGTTGCCTGGAACTGGGTGGTTCAGGCACAATCAGTTTATCTAACTTTGAATGCTACAAAAGCATGATGGGAGAGAGCTATACCTCTCATGAAGTTACACAATGTAGCTCTATGAGGAAAGTGAGCAGAGAGGGATTTCTCAAACATGTTTCCTTCATGGGGTGACTACAGAGTCACTTACTTAGGAATTTTGCTTCATGCCTCTGGACAGTGATACTGATTGATCGTTTATGAAAGGGCTTAAAACAGGGTGAAAGTAATTTCATGTTCTTGTCAAAGACACTATTCAGCAACAGGAATAATACTATTCCTTAATAATTACAATAGAGAATATTAATTTCATTCATATATTGAACAATTTGGCTGTCCCTCTATTCCGTCACTACAAAACCTGAGAGGCCAGTATGCCAACCTTCCATTTTACATTCCAGATTTGCTTCATCCTGTTAGGGGGAGGGCAAGCTGACCCCATGTGACACTGGACAACAGTTTTTGTACACCACTGTTGTACCCTGTTTAAATCAGGACAATTCAATGTTATAACGTTTCCTTAAAGTTATTTAAGACTATTCTATCAGTGTCAATAAAATACATGCATCCCCACTATTTTAGAACTCTGGATTTTAAAAGGAAACTGTGATTTGAGGTCCCATAACAGACCAGCATTTAAATGTAAATCTTGCTTCATATTCCAGTTCAGTTTTATTAAAGTACTGCCACTCTCCACATACTCAATTTGACACAATGTACCTTCTGAAACACAAAGTCCTGCCCCAACCGCTCCCTATACTTTGGAAGCAACTCAGCCACTCAGCTCCAAATAAACAGGAAGGCGTTTGCGATAACAATCTACATGGGCTGTGCCTGGTGATGTCATCAGGAGGAAACTGCTAAACTCAGACCCACCACTTCCTTTTAAGGAGACATGAGTCAGACAAGCCTAGAAGAACCAAAGTTAGTATTTTCTGTATGCACTCGTGTCACTGAATAGACAAGTGACTGTTTGGTCCCTTTTAGGGGCAATTTAAGACACAATAGGTGTTAAAAAAAGTCAACTTACTTAAGACAAACGTCTCAAGGCTTAAATGCAAAACAGCTTGATACAAAAGTTAGTTTTTACATGACACAAAGAATAAAAAAAACATAGCTTTTACATTCAGTCCCATCTTATATGTTGGTCATCTTTGTTTAAATGTGGGTTGCTTGCCCTAAGCATTGAAGATTAATCTGTCAGTTAGTGCAGGACAGACTGTAACATTCAGGCGTGCTCCCTTAAGGACTTAAAGAATGACGAGGGAATTGTTTGGTGGGTTTCCTCTTCTTTGCTGTCAAGGCTCAGACTAATCCACTCTAAATACTCAACTCCCATCAACGCTTCAGTGAGCCGTTTACGGCCAAGTACCACCAACCAAGCACGCTAATCCCCAGCTCAAGATCATTTGCACAAACTTGTACAGACAAAACAGACCATCAGCAAATCTGTCGTGAGCTTCTTTCGAGTCAGCACTACTGTTGTAGAATCATACCCGACACCTTGGGTCTAACATCTGAGGGAATGAGCCCCCCCACTA